GCTTCTCATATCTTGATACAGCACGTGTGATTCAACTTTCTCTGCCTCATCCTTGAAGGTTTTTTGATGTTTCGTCTCAAAATGTCGTGTAACACTGGAAGTCCGGCAAACAACACTCTCGAGGCAAAGGGCACATACAGCACGATCTTTCTGTTGCACAAAACCCCAGTCTTCCATCCAAATTGGCATAAAAGACCGGGGATCATCTTTTTTCGCTCGCTTCGATATAATTCACAGGACTGGCTAGCTAGCTACATCCCTCTGGTCTGTGTAATTTTTAGCCAGTTATAAGTAAAACAAGGAGGTGGGGCTGTTAGCTTAGATACTGTCATTAAGACGCGCTGTCATTAACTGTATTGTCATTAGCTTTGTGTGAGATAATTTGTGATGTGCCCAGCCGTAGCTATTTATTTTTAAATACACCTTCTCAGATTATTTCACTGCATGCCGCGCCATCACTTAACCCTTCGCGTGCCAGCTGAGGCACGCGTGCCCAGGGTTGCCGACCCCTGGTGTAGCTGAAGGAAGTCATCTAGCAATTGGTCATGTGGTCAGCTGTAGACAAGTACATGTAAACAAGCCACAATGTGAGTGTGTGTTATCAATCCACTACAAATACCACTACCACATTTCATGCTGAGAGACAGCAAAAGTGGTGAATGTTAGCCACTTCCTCTATCTCCAGCCCATGCAGGGGCCTATCCTTACATGATGGTTCTTCTCCTTGCTCCTCTTCTTTCTTGGGTTTCTGACGCCTGAAGTATTCACTAAGGAATTAACAACCCTAGTCTGTAACAAAGTCAGCAAAGAAGGACGTAAAGCTATAAAACTCCACTGTATTATTCACCAACAAGTATTCTGTGCTAAACATTTAAAATATGACCATGTTATGAAACTGGTGATAAAGGTTATTAATTATATTTGCTCCAAAGCCCTGTACCACCGCCAGTTTCAACAGCTTCTACTCAACATCCAGAATACAGAGATGTTGTGTATTATAATGACGTAAGATGGCTCAGTTGGAGGTCTGCACTGCAGCGGTTCTACTCTCTTATGGAGGAAATCGGACAATTCTTTTTTTGAATTTCATAGTTCTTATTTAAACAGCTGACTTTGAATTAAATCTAACATTAAAAAATAGTTAAATTCAGGAGGAAACATTTTCATAATATAACAGGTGAAATTCAAAATATACTGACAGCTCTCCAAGTAAGACTTCAGTATTAAATAAAATGGTCTAGTTATGAAGTTGAACTTTAATCTGAGCCAAAACCGATTTACTCAGGAACAAATCAAACACTGAAATAAACCAAACGTTGACATTTAGAAGTTATCTAAGTGACTTATATATCATGTTTAACCCGAGTAGCGAAAGACCGTTGGGGGGTTGAAAATGATGTGCCTTGAGTCTGCGCCTTGACCACCTGGTCAGCTAGTCTAGCTAGGACTTAGACTTAGGCTAATTGCTAACTGCAACAACAATATGTCGTTCAAGTGGAACAGCAAAGCGCAAGTACGAAAGCCAAGGGGGTTGTCACATGATTTGGAAGGCATTGTGGGCATTGTAGGCATTCTAGAATCAGCCAGTCAGAGCCAGCGGATTTTGTTACACGGGCATTTTGCCGTTAAGTGCCTTCGTAACTTGAATTTTCTGTTAAATGGGGTATTCGTAAGTCCGGGTTCCACTGTATTGTAAAACAACTGATTGACATAAAAAAATTAAGCAGGAAGCAGCATAAAGTCTGATGGTATTTTAACTCGTTAAGAGATTAATTTCTTCAGCTTACCGATAACAAAGTTTTAGCCCGCCTGCTCTGTTCGGCTGTAGAAGCAAGAGACCGTGAGTCCACACCTTGACCACCTGGTCAGCTGGACTGGGACAAAAAATCCGGGCATTTTGACTAGAGAGTGGCCACCAGGTATTATAGAAAATACCATAAAGCCTTTGAATGAAAACAAACATTGTTGTGACAGTGATGTACACTGTCTTGTTGGTATATATGTATGAGTTCTAAACACAGTTTACATCAGATGACCACTTAAGGACATCTCTTGATTTCACCTTCGTGTTTCCCTCTCTCCAGATATCCAAACCGACATCATAACAAGCAGCTTTTACGGCTGTGGCTCCAGCAAACATTAGCTGATACTAGAAAGTAATATTAAATGAATTCTAACAACAGCTGATCAAGCTTAAACGTGCTGCTGTTGTTTAGCGCATGTTTTCATGTTCATTCCGTTTAGTCTAGCTTCCTGTCTCGTTATGGTTATTCCTATCAGTTGTGTGTGTCCTCACGTCCCTGTCATCCCTCTGTGTATTTAGGTCAGCGTCTCTTTCAGTTTGGTCCTCCCTCATGGCTGCGTATCTCTCCCCGTGTTTCCCTGCGTAATTAGATTAGATTAGCATTAGAATTTCCCAGTTTAGTTTAGCATTGTCTTGTATCTTTTTTCCCCGTTCAGTAATAAAGCTGTATTTTGAGTTAAGTCCCTGCAAAGTAAACACAGGTTCAGCATTACTGACGCTGAGTACAGATTTTGATACTTTTAACTTATAAAGGCAGCTTATATGTGTGTCTTGATTTATCAAATAAATCATCATCCATCCATCCATCCATCTTCATCCGCTTTATCCGGGGCCGGGTCGCGGGGGCAGCAGCCTAAGCAAAGAGGCCCAGACCTCCCTCTCCCCATTTTCAAATCATCATCAATTTGAAAATTCTGAGCACATTTTAATGACAACTAAATCACCTTCCACAAGAAATAGTTAACACAATAAAACAGACCTGTCAGCTTGCCATATATTTAGGAACTGGATGTCTTTAAGACTTGGAATGTAAATGTAAGTGTCCTTTTTTCTTTTGGTCAACTTCTGTTGACTATTGTGCTATATAAATAAAGTAAACTTGACAGTCAAAACAAAAAGGTTATTATATTCAGATATTTTTCATAATTCAAAATTGAATAAACATGGGAATGACTGAGTAGATAGGTTTTTTGGCAGTTACAATTCAATTCCCCATCTTGGTGGAACGGAACCAAAGCTATGAGAGGGATTACAGCAGGACCCCCCGGAGCCAAGATGCTGGTGGTGGAGATTGTTTGAATGGAAAAGTTGAAAAGATGTAGGCTGCCGGGGGATTCCCATGATGCATTGAGTTTTTCCTTTCCAGTCACCTTTCTCACTCACTATGTGTTAACAGACCTCTCTGTATTGAATCGTATCTGTTATTAATCTCTGTCTCTCTTCCACAGCATGTCTTTTATCCTGTCTTCCTTCTCTCACCCCAACCGGTCGCAGCAGATGGCCGCCCCTCCCTGAGCCTGGTTCTGCCGGAGGTTTCTTCCTGTTAAAAGGGAGTTTTTCCTTCCCACTGTCGCCAAAGTGCTTGCTCATAGGGGGTCATATGATTGTTGGGCTTTTCTCTGTATCTATGAAGCGCCTTGAGGCGACATTTGTTGTGATTTGGCGCTATATAAATAAAATTGAATTGAATTGAATTGAATGGAAAAGTGGGAGTGATAAAACTTAGATTTAGCTGGCAGCACCTGGGAATGCACAGATATGAATATTCACCTATATCTTGTCATGGAACTTTTTAAAATAAAATGCAAACACTTGATGAGTGTCTTTGAAGTGAGTTTTATTCACGTTGCAGCAAAAGAGAGAGTCCAGTCAGTCAAAGTCTGAGTGTCTGTCCCACTATGCTTCAAATAAACATGTTATATATGTGTTATTGTCAGAAAAGGTGAGGAAACACTAAAGAAAAATACATTTTCATTACAATCTCTACACATTAAAATATCAACAGCAATGATGACTAATTGGGTTGTTATGATACTAGAATTTCGAACTCGATACATATTAACCAGGAAAATACTTGATACCATATTTGATATTATGGGGAAGACTCTGAACCCACCCTGCAACAACAAAAGTAATGGCAAAGATGTCATATCATGAAAAAAAAAGTTTAAATTTTCATCTACTTTTCCCAATTATAAATGCAACGACAAAAGTAATGGCAAAGATGTCATATCACTAAAAGAAAAAAAAAAACTTTTAATTTTCATCTACTTTTCCCAGTTATATATTTATTATAGTTAGATCTGACAAAAGAAGAACTTAAGATTGAGTTTAGAAGTTTCATTTGTTTTACAAATTATTTATAGAATTTAATTGCAGACTGTGAAGGTAGATTTTAGAACCTGTTGTAAGGGTGTTAATATTTTTCATGAAATGGTAAAATATTGAACTTTCATTTCAAAACATTTGATATGTTTTTGATGTTCTATTGTTAATAATATTGTGGGTTTATTAGATTGGTACATTTTTACATTTCTTTCTTTTTTTTTTATTTCTACATACATCTGTTTGGTTAATAACTCACACTGACCAATAAAATATGACAAGTGGTGAAGATGCAGGTCCTTGGGCATCAGTTATAAAGTGTTACCACTTATTCCTTTAATGGAGAATCTATGTTTCACTATGTTCCACTAGCATATCGTAAATAAGAATTAGCAATAATGTAAAAATGAAGAAATATAAAAGTTTAAAGACATTAATCTGAAAATTGATTTAATTACCTATCATTTTACCTATGGCAGAATGAATATGTTTATGTTAAGACAACTACATACATTTTCCATTATTGCTTCCCAAAAGTACTGAGTACAGCAACATACAACTTGAAAAAACTAAAAAAGAATTGTGTGAAATGAATTAAAACTAAAGTAATTTATTTTGCTCAAATACGTTTTCTTTAAAAAGATTGATTATTCTGTTAGACTTGTAATTATTAGAAACTAAAGAAAAACTTGTTGAGGAATAGTATATTTACAGAATAAACTTGGACTAAATATGGACTTAATACACCAACAGTAAATCATAGCAATAATTTATGAATAATTAAATGAGTAAAAATTACATTTTTATGTTTTACTTTTTGATTATGTTAAAAAGTGTTTTCAGTAACTTCAGCAAACTGATTACATAACAATTACGTCACATTAGCATTAATACACGTAATGATTCTGGGATGACAAAAGAATCTTTTTAGCTGTTTAGAAATTTCCTTCATTTTGAGCCCATAAATAAATGGATTAAACAATGGATGATAGAACAATAATTGTAATGTCATTAGTAATCGAGCAACTTTTGGAAAATCTGATTCCACTCGAGCTATGCCTACATCATAGATACTTAAACAGGAAATACTGATTAAAACTAACAGATGGGGTAAACAGGTCTCTGCAGCTTTCTTCCTAATTTCTTTACAACTTTGATATGAGATGATAAAAATGTTTGTATAAGTGAAAACAATGAACAGCAAAGGAAGTATTATAAGATCTATTAAAGCAACCACTCCAAATACAATAATTAATCTTGACCTTACACACTGAAGAGTGTAAACTGCATTATTACAAAATATTCCCTTTAAATTAAAGTTACACAATGTTGCTTCAGCACTCCCTATTGCTTGGACTGCAATATGAAAAGCAGGTATAAGCCAAGATACGACCAGGAAAACGCTCACAGTGGTTTTGTTCATGATAGTTGGATATTCAAGAGGTTTACAAATAGCCACATATCTGTCATAGGCCATGGCTGCCAAGAGAAAGAACTCTGAACTGCCTAAAGTGTAAAATATAAAAAACTGAAAGAGACAGGCTGAATATGTTATGACTTGTTTTTCAGATAAAAAGTCAATCAGAAGTTTTGGGTAAATAGTTGTGCTGTAAAGGA